GCTTAAATCAGCATGCAAAAGGGTCCAAAATCTTAAGCAAAACAAAGGGTTTAAAGGGTTAAAGGCTCACCCTTGTAAACCAACTTCAAAATCACAACTCCAGCAGGTTTTTCAAGCTCAAACCAAACCAAAAACTTCAAAACCAGCTCCTAAGCACCTTAGCAACAAAAGAATGGTGTTTGAGTGTGTGTTTGTGTGTTAAAGTATGAAGAAATTACACTTTAAGGCACAAATATGAGACCAAGAGAGAGATATAGAGATATATGTGTATGTATATCTCAATGCACAAAATCTGAACCTAGAGGAGGGAGGGTGAGCCTCTCTCTTATAGAGAAGCAAGGCTTAAGCTTCTTGGAGAAGCTAAAGGTTCAAGGCCATCCCTCCATACACGTGTATGGAGGATGGTTTCAGTGCCTTCCAGCTGTGCCAGCTGAAAGAAAATATCTCCAAAAAGGTGACAAAAAGCAGCCGACCACTTGAAGTGGTTGGCCAACTACTTAAAGTGGTCGGCCGACCACTATAAGTGGTCTCCCAAAAATAAAAATGGTCGGCTATGGTGGGAAAAGGTCAGCAACATGAAAACAAGCAAATGGTGTGGTGGCTGACCACTTTTGATGGTCCAAAGATCAGGGAGACCAGTTGTCAGACCAGAAAACTGGCTGGCAGGAAGGAAAGTGGTTTGCGGGGAGAGAAACTGGTCTACCGCCCTTGTACCATCTTCCAAACAAGGAAAACAAGGTTTGTGCAAAAAACAAACCAAAACGGATGCAAGACGAAAGTTCGAGAGGCAAAGTGCCTAGCCGGGAGCCTCGAAAACTAGCTGACAAGCACCAAAAGTGGTTCACGACCACAAAAGTGGTCTCCCAAACTACAGTGGCCCTCCAGGCCAAGAAAACAAGGTGTGGTTCAAAAACCACGCCAAACGGAGAACGTTAAGCGGTCCCGAGACAAGGCGCGTGACCGAAGGCTCCGAAAAATCGAAAACTAGTTTCCAAGCGGGAAAAGTGGTCTACAACCACAAGAGGGGGTTTTCAAGACCTCTCATTTCCTCAGGCAAGGAAAACAAGGCTTGGTCCGCAAATGGAGTGTCTACACCCGGAGAACGTTAAGCGGTCCCGAGACAAGGCGCGTGACCGAAGGCTCCGAAAAATCGAAAACTAGTCTCCAAGCGGGAAAAGTGGTCTACAACCACAAGAGGGGGTTTTCAAGACCTCTCATTTCCTCAGGCAAGGAAAACAAGGCTTGGTCCGCAAATGGAGCTGAAGCACAAAGAGTTCAGAGGCCCGGAGGCAAGGCACTCGGCCAAAACTCCGAAAAACTTGAAACGAGCACAACATGCACTATCACCGAGCGCTCAATCGATGACGTCTGAATCTTAAGGTCGGTAAAAAATGGAGTGTCTACACCCAAGGCAGCCGTCTAAATGTTGGGCAAGGCCGGGCCTGGTATTACTCATATTAAACAAATTTTCAATCTACACGGTACAATTTGGTAATTTTAAGTCCAAATTTGTTAAGATTGAACATATTAACTTCATAGTGGAATTGATCTATCATGAGATTAATTTAGATCTATTTTAATGATTTGAATCGTTCATCTTATACAATCAATTAAAAAATATATTTTCATAAAAAATCAAATTAATTCAATATCAATTGTCATATTATTAGATTATTTTTATCAATAAGGTATATATGTTTTTAAGAATAGATTGTTCATTATTATTATATATGTGATTTGATTATATAATTATTTAATTTTGATTAACCAATTTTTTTATAGGTATGTTCTTCTTATCTTGTCATATGAACTAAATGGTTCAAATTATTAAGATAAGTACCAATTCATCTCACAATGCACTTAGGGTATGTTTGATTGACAGAATTAGAGTATAAGATTGAGATTATTAATCCGTAGACTTAATAATCCTATGTTTGTTTTGAAATTTTGTTTCAGGATTATTAATCTAATGGATAATTAATCCAACAAATTTGTAAGATTATTAGTAATAGGGTAGGGATGAGATTATATATCCTGAGTTGGGAAATAAAATAAAAAGATTCTTCTACCCTTGACCAAAAATTAAAACACTTAGGTTGCGTTTGGTAGAGGTTTGGAATTATGATTTGAGAGTATGAGTTGTATTTTGAGTTTGTAAGGTTTGGAATTATAATTTGAGTGTGGAAGATTTTTTGGTGAGAGTTTTGAAAATAGTTTTGAATTAAGTGGGGAATATTTGATGTGACATTTGATATTTGATATAAAAACTTACAACTCATAACCGAACATAAAATTCAAAATTATTTTAAAGCACATAAAAAATTTTAAAAAATTCAGAAAATATTTTTTTCGAATATATAAAAATTAACATATCAATTGAAAATAAATAAATAAAAATAAATAAATAAATAAATTTCACTATTCCGGTCAACCGCCCGGACGACCGGTAAGGCCAAATTTTGAAAAAAAAATTGAAAAATGCGCTCTGTTTGACAGAGTTTTTTGTAGAGTTGTGGAAAATTAATTCCACAACTCTATCCAAACATCATACTCAAACCATCAAGCAGAAAACTAGTTTGAAAACACAACCAAACAGAATATTTTTATATAATTTTATATTTTAGAAGGCTAAAAATAATTTGTAAAATTTAAAATATTTTTTGATATTTATTTTATCAAAATAGTTTATATTTTTTAAAAAAAAATTAAAAACAAACCAAACATGGCTTTGTATTTTGTATTTTTATTTTGCTTTTATTTGTATTTATAATTTTTTTCAAAATCACGTTTATGAAGAAATTTTTAAAAAGCAAAGATTGTGAAGAAATATTGATGGAGGGTAAAATTGGAAAAGAAAATAAATATAATTGTAATATTATATTTATATGTTTTTTTATCTAATGCAAATCAAACAATGAACAGTAATTTATCCTATTAATCCAATTAGATAGGAATGCCATATAAATTTGATAAAATTATTAATACTTTCACTATTAATCTTGTGAATTAAATATGACCTAACATCACCAAGTTTTAGCGAATCCAACCTCAATAATTTTTGGTTTACAACTTCAGGGTACCCAACATTTTTCAATCCACTAGGAATTTTTCAGTTTTGGAGACTGGCTTATCCTTGATCTAAAATCAGATTAAGGCCTCGTTTGGCAAGTGGCTATTTTGAATTAAAAAGTCAAAAAGTCACTAAAAAAATCAAAAAGTTAACAATTCATACAAAAAGGTCAAAGATTCTCTTTTCTTTTTACTTTTTGCACATCTTTTCGTAAAAAGTCAAAAAGTCATCTCAAACATACTAACTTTTTTTTACATTATATTTTAGCTAAAAAGTCAAAAAATTACTAAAAAAGACTGTTCCCAAACGAGGCCTAAATTGTTGTAGTGCAGGTCTCATCTTGTTCCAATATGATAATTTAATCTATTAATTTTATGAGTTCCCCTATAATAATTTGATTCATTAATTTTATAAGTTTTTTATATAAATCATTTATTAAAATATTATTCATCTAATAATTTTTTAATTTTTTTTCATATTTTCATTAAAAAAAAATAAAGGAAAAATTATTAGAAAATCTCATATGGGAATTAGTTATTCCAATCAGTTCCATGGATAATTTAATATACTAATAGGTTCGATTTGTTTTGACAATTTTACCTTGTGATCCTATTTTAAATTTTGGTATAATTTGGTGGAAGTTTCTACTATTCCTCATTGGGGAACGTCATCTTAGAGAAGTTGGATCTAATTTTTGGATCATGTTTCCGTCGCTCCAATGTAACACTTTAAAAAAACTTCTTTTAGTATGCTTTTTCCAAACGTAATATTCTAATGTAATATACTAAAAAGCTTCCTAGTGTATTTTTTCAAATGTAACATTCCAACACTAAAAAACTCCTTAATACACTTTTCTTAAATATAAAGCTCCTCTAACGTAACACATTAAAGTACTCCTTCAACAGAACACAGCACAAAACTCTTTAATATACGTTTCTTGAATGTAATACTCTAATACTTTAATACTTGAACGTAAACTCTTCAAATCTAACACTTCAATGTGACGGACAAATAAGTCATTACACATTCAAAACAATTAATAGATCACACAAAAAAATAATAATAATAATACATAAATAAAATTATATGAATCACAAATTCAAAATATGAAGTTTAGGCTATGTTTAGCATAAATTTTTGGGCTAAAATAGTTATAAAAAAACAAAATAGGTTAAAAAGTCAATAATACAAAATGTCATATATAAATCACTTGGTTCCATTTTTCTAAAAACACTTTTCAAAAAATTCTACTTTTTTATTTTTCGTGTTTTTTTGTTTTTACTAAATTTTTTAAATATTTTAAGTAATTTTTTTTTTACTTTTTAGACACACCTAACATAAATACACCTAAAAAGTAAAAAAATTGTAAAAAAAATCTTTTAAAAATTCACTAACTACCAAAAATACAAAAAAAATACAAGAATTCAATATATTTTTTTTTTGTATTTTTATGTATTTATTAATTTTTTAAAATATTTTTTCACAATTTTTTTACTTTTTAAATACATCTAAGTAAGGTGCACCTAAAAAAATAAAAAAAAATGTTAAAATTTTTAAAAATATTCACTAAAAACAAAAAAAACACGAAAATCAAAAAAAATTTAATTTTCAAAAAACTTAATCCAGAAAATTCAAACCAAACACACTGAATCATTTCTTTTTTTTCTCACAAAAGTCAAAAAAATTAAAAAGTTCATTTCAAATGAGATTTTTTAATCTCAAACTAAAATAATTAAAAAATCAACCCACATCGCAAACGAAGATTTAAGATGGTTTGGAATATTCGAAATAAATACACTTTTTGACTTTTTATAAAAAAAAAATATATAAAAAAATATAAAAAGTAAGTAAAAAAAATAAAAAAAAGATGTTAATAAACATTAATAGATGTGAACTAAATAAATAAATAAATATATATATCAAACAATGAACAGTAATTCCACCCTCCTCCTCATGATAGCCCTCCTTCTCTCCCCCATGCTAACCTATGCATCTGCTGCTCGTCCAGAGCCTGTGAAAACCCAACACATGGTAGGTTGATCATTTAATTAATTACTTGTTATATAACTATTTTCTTGATCAAATCTTTTAGTCTTTCTTATGGGTTTTTCTTTTTTGCTTTCAATAAATATAGGGTTCTTCAGAGATGGTTGATAATGAAGAAACTAATTGTGAAGGAGTGAAGGAGGAAGAGTGCTTGATGAGGAGGACACTGGTTGCTCATATTGATTATATATATACCCAGAAGCAGCACAAGCCCTGAATGAATCTCTCTCTCTTTGTTTGTCTCTTAATTAGAATCACTGGCTAGGATTCTAATATTTGTGTTTATATATCAGTTAGTATAGCATAATAATAAAGAATAAAACATGTTTCCTGTGTTTTCTTTGTTGTTGTTGCGGGTATTTTAGTTCATTTGCTACTGTTTTTGATTGAATATCTTTAGATTTTCCTCAAATTTCTAAAAGATGTAACCTCAGATCAAATAGGGTAGGCGACGATGGTGGGTGTTAGTGAGTGAGTGTTGGTGGTGGTGGGTGGGTGATAGGTGGTGGTGGTGGAAGACGGTGGTGGAAAATGGTGGCGGGTGGTGGCTAGTGTTGGGTTGTAAAAAAAAAAAAACTGAACACTCAAAACGAAAATATATTTTTTGTGTTTTTATTTTTTGGCCAAATTTATAAACTGAAACCACTGATTTATAAATCAAAAATTTTACCAAATAAGTTTTTATTTCAATTTTTAAAATTTTGATAAATATAAGAAGAAAATTGAAAACGTAAGTGTTACCAAACGACACGCTAATGATCAAAATACAAGTGCAAGGCATGTCCCAAATAAAAAATTACGATCCAAACTTGTGTGTGGTGGGTTACTTTAAAGTGAGGGAAGGTTTTGTTCTCATAAGGGGGGAGGTTGACTTTTGTTGCGTCCCAGAAAACTAGGGTACGGTAGTGTGGCCCTCTCTCCTCCTTAACACAAAGGGACAAATGGGTTGACTTCCAGAGTGAGTTTTGGCTTGGCGGTGTGTGTGTGTTTGTGAGTGAGCGAGCGTGGATACATCTAGAGCCGAGTCTGTCCTGATCTTTTGTGGAGTTGTCTTCCAAAAGTCAACCCTTTTTGTGTGGACTCAATTGCCCTTCTGATGCTTGACACGTGAAAAGATTTGTGGTGGCCCACTCCGTTTGAAAACACGTGTGGTTATGGGGAATTGGAGCATCGAGGCGTTCCTTGAAAAAATTACGATAATAATTCATCCCACTAAAAACATCACCACTAATACTATTAATGCATTAAAAAAAAAATAATAATAATAAAAAATTACAACTTCAAGACCAAAACATCACATCATTCATGACGGGACCCATTGCCACCTAATTAGTGGGAACACTAATTAGTGCTCTCAAGCATTTTTCAAAAAATTAATAAATAAAAAAAAAAATTCAATACAACAATGAAAAGTTTTTAACAAATTTTATAAAATATAGTAGGACTCTCAAATTCACATTTCATTGAAGGGCTTTTTGAAAAAAATAATAAAAAAAATTCAGTACAACAATGAAAAGTTTTAACAATTTTTTGTAAAAAATGATTGGACTCTCAAATTCACATTTCATTAGAAGGCTTTCTGGGTTTATCACAAGTTTTATTTTGATTATTTAAACCGTTCATTTCATAAGACTCTTAATATATATTATTTATAAAAAAAATTAATTTGATTCAATAATTATAACATTTTTTTTATCACACTTGTTACCGAAAAAGTAAATTGTAAATATATTTTTGAAAATAGAATATCTATCTTTTAAAGACAAAAGAAACAAAATAAAAAATTTACGATGATCAAATTAACTTATATTTTTCATAAATAATACATATTGAGGGTCTACAAAATGACTCATGGTGGGTCCCATGGAAGTTTCAAATTCTCTCAAGTTGATGTATGAACTTGTAAAAAGAACCCAACCTATGAAAAATAAAATTTCTAAACTTGGCTTCAATTTTTGTGGTGAAGTTGAAAATTTCAAATTGTTGTTCTAAAATATAAAAGTTTAGATTGCACAAATTTGAAACCAATTATCCAGTCTCTCCTTCTATTTTTCTATAAAAACTTGGAAACTTTTCCTAGACCTTTCATTCGACAGGTTAAGATTTCTTCAACTTTATCAAAGTTGGAACTGCATATTCATTAACATCGCTAATATTTTGATATATACAAAAATGAAATACAAAAAGTTTTATTAAAAATAAAATAAAAGGATGAGTTGCATATGTGCATTATATCTATTGTTCCTCAGCTATAAAAAAATTGTATTATATTTTCGACGATTATCATAAAAATATTATTTATTAATAAATTTAAAATAATTATATTAAAAATACGGTGTGAAAGGGGTGATCGTATCTCCAAAAATTTTAAAAATATCAAATATTATATTGAAAATTTTAAAATAATTTAAAATTATAAAATTTGTACCTTCAAATATACTTTCATACTCAATAATTTTGAATCTGTCATGCCTCTTATAAAAATGCAATGCAAATAAACTTTGCTAATTAAAACAAGTGGCCATTAGTCAGTGGAATTTTTGAAGTGATTGATAATTTGTGATTTGCAGCCCCATAGTAGCAAATATCAAAACTGCAATGTTGCATGCCTAGAATTTTATTTTTAAAAAATAAAATATAATTCAAATTTAATTCAAATGTAAGACTTAACGTATAATTGAATTTGAATCACATGATTTTTATTATTACATATTCAATTTGGTGAGTTTATGTTTCATTGATCAGGAGTTTATGTTAATCTTGATAATTATTCTCTATATAATTCAAAACTTTTTAATTTTTCATTCTAAATAGAGACTCTTTACTTTTTCTCTCATGCCACCATTCTAGTGTTGAATAAGATGGCATGGAGATGCTTTCAATAATGCATGGAAAAATGCTAGACTCAGCATTTAGTGTTGTTTATATTGAAAAAATATGTAAAAAGTGTATAAAAATATATGGGCAAATTGTCTACACCTCTCTTGAGGTTTAACGAAATTACATATTCTTTCCTGATGTTTCAAAAATTACATCCCGTTCCATTGCAATTAACACCGTTAACAGACATCATAAATTGACTAAAATGCCCTTTTAACAAAGAAAGACAAATTACCTACACCCCCTTGAGATTTAGCTAAATTATTATTTTTAAATAAGTTATGAAATGCAAAATTAAAATAGAAAAATACTTATCATACTACAAAAAATTAAAGTTTTAGAGACCAAAATTTAGGGGCAAAATTATTTTCAAGGAACTAAATATTTTTATTACGAAAAATGTCGTTATTATATTTTTAGCAACGAAAATGGAACATTAATGATTAATTATTATCTTTTTGGTATCAAATTTTATGTCTCAAAAAATAAACCATTTTGAGACCAAATTATTTTGTCCCTAAAAGTTTATTTATTATTGACATTTTCAAAATTTTATCGCTAAAAGTCTTATTTTTTACTTTTCAAGACGACCTTATAGCGACTATCCTCACGACGATAAAAATCATTTCTAAATGTCTTTTGCAACAAAAATTTCACTTTTAGAGATCAAAAACATTGGTCTCTAAAACTATTATATGTTGCAGTGTTAGATGATGAAAATATCATAAAATTAACAAATAATTAAATAAGTTAAAAACATAAGAAATGGCTTGTGGAAAAATTCTTAGAATATGTTTAGTTTGATTTTTAGAAATTTATTTTAAAATTTCTTTTAAAAAAATAAAAAATTAATTTGGTTAAGAAATAAAAAATAAAAATAATTATTATTTTTATATAATTTTACCTTTTGAGTGGTTAGACATAATTTTTACAAATTAAATATATTTTTTCATATTTATTTTTATTAAATTAGTTTTTATTTTTTTTTAAATTTTGAATTTTTTTTCTAAACAACAAATCAAACATGGTTCCAACAACTTAATTTTTTTTCCCCATCTAATGTAATTTTTTTGTAAATTTTGTTGATTTATCAAAGAGATTTCAACAAAGGCAATATCGTCTATCAATTTATATTTTGGTGATGGCGGCTAATCATTATTAACGTTTAGTTAATGGTAGAGGTTAAATTATTATGCGAATATAAACCTCAGGAGTGAGATGTAATTTCTAAAACCTCATGAGAAAATTTATAATTTAGCTAAATCTTAAGGGAGGTGTAGGTAATTTACCCAAAATATATAAAATATTTTGAAATATATAAAAAGTATATTAAGATTATAATATTTTGTATTTTTTTATTGACAGTCCTTGAGGACTATCATTAGTAATGAGTGCTATGGGGATTTTATCACATTGTTATTCCTACTCTTTCATTCTAATAACCTATGCCAAACTTATAGGCCCAAAGAAAATGATAGTTGGGTCAATTAGTGATGTTAGACTATGATGTGTAAAAACAAACAAAGAATATGATAGTTGGGCCAATTGGTCCAAAGAAATTCTAATCTCAACCATGAGAAGGGCTCTAAACCCATATGTACACCACCCTTTCCAAAAAGAAACCAGAAATACTATTGGGCTCATAGCCCACAAGTAACATATTTATTTGGGGAACTTACTGATAAGTCCCATGTAACAAGTTCAAAACCCAACTAATCCCAAAACAAAATACTTGCACCAATTAGTCCAACACATTTTTAATTGTTACCAAAAAATCTTTTTTTTTTAATTTATAGACACTGTTCACATCTTACTATCGTCGGACTTCCGTTTAACGGTCGCCGGAGACTCACCGGAATGTCTAGAATATTGCCGGAAAAAAAAAATTAAAAAACATGTTATGAAACTGTTAAATTTTACAGTTCTAAAGAATGTTATAAAACTGCAAAATTTTACAGTTTTAAACCCCTGTAACTAAAACTCGAAAACTGCATTTTTTATTAATGTCAGTGAATTATAGGCTTGGTTTAGTCCTAAAAATTGATCTTTTGGGTTCAAAGTCCAAAATGCCCAAAATTCTCCAATTTGGGCCAAAATCTACTGACTCTGGCCTGGCTTTGTTTTGCACTAGTCTTGGACCTGATTTTGAAAATATCTTTAAGTTACTAGTTTTTTTAGTTTTTTTATCCCAATGTTTTTAGGAAGAATTTCAATTTAGTGCATGTTTTGAACAAATATTACAAATGAATGGTAAAATTTATAAATATTAATAATTATAATTATAATCTTTTTTTCATAAATCTGTAATAATTTTTTGAAAATGCCACTTAATGTAATTTCCCCAAACAAAAATAGGCTCAAGGCATTGGCAGATCCTAAAGCAGCAGGGATGAGGTATTAGGTTACGATGACCTGTCCTTATTGTTGTATGGTATGTCTAGAAGCAGAAGCAGATGCACCACCCA